GGACCAGGCAATATTGTGTTCTGTTTTACATGGTCCAATTTGTCCTTAAAAGTTGGAACTAGTGCAGTGGCCCCTAACAGCAAAACAGTACAATCTTATAATTAGTGTAATTGCTCCTCACTTCCATATAAAGTGAAAATTATCCTTATATTCCAAGGAAAGAGTCTCAGGGTTTGTGGGTACAAGGCCAGAACTAGGGAGGAATCACTCATGGAATTAAGCTGGGTGGCTTTTCATTCATTACTTGGTTCTTCATTTATTTAAGAAATACTTGCCGAGTGTGCCTGTCTTGTATCAAATACCATGCATAGTGTGGTGTAGGTGCCACCAGGACTTCTGACTCGGAGACCCTATGTACAGCAGAATGAAAGGCTGCCCAGTCCGGTGCCCATTGTTGCAGCTACTGTGTCAGTCCATTTCCTGGAGCTCTTCTTCTTGCATTCCCTCTACTTTATCAAGGATAATATCTTTTTCCAGGGACTGGGCTCCCCTGATAGGATGTAAAAGTATATGAGACAGTCTCATGTTTCTCAAGACAGCTTTTAATAATTTGGCATATCCATCATATATGCAATTTAATCATTCAATTATATTAAGACGTGCAGTTGTCACCACAATCAGTTTTAGGCATTTCCTCCTTTTGTTGATTCCCCATTTCCCCCCAGGTTCCCCTTCCATGGCCCTAGGAAATTAATGTAGTTTCTGCCTCTGTAGATCCGCCTATCTTAGATTTCTTATACAGAAAATCATACAAGACAATCAGGAAGCAACAAAAGGCCAACAATGACAAGGCATAAAAACCGATCAAAATAAAAAATGGGTCAAAAGGGATAAAATGGTAAGGTATAAACTTTTCAATGCCGTCTGATAGCATGATTATTAACATCCCTTGACTATAGTCAGAGGGAATTCACTAGAGGCTTCATCCCATGTGGACCCTGCAAATGGATTTTGGATTTCCACGGTCAGCTATAGCCCTTTGCAAACCAAGTATTCAGAATTTAAGCTCTGAAACCATTCTCTCTTTCATGCTTGGATTTTATTTGCAATCTTTTTGAATCACACAGGCTGGTGTGATTCTTCCTTGTGGACTTAGAAGACATTTTTTCACTTAAATAGCTGCTTGTTTAAAGACTAGCCTTTAAGACTCCTGATACTATTCTTTCTGAAAGCCGAGCATCATCAAGTTTTTTTGCTACACTTTGCTATAGCATCCATATCTTCAGTGATCTCTTCGCAAGGGCAAGCACTGAGCAGGGTCATGTTATAGGAGCTAATTGTTCTGAGGTCAAGGCTAGAATTAACTGAGTGCTCAGAATCCATAGATCTATGATCTATATGTGTCTGGTTCACTTTAGAGACATCATTTGATGACAGAGGACATTCTGAAACATCCCCCCC